GAAAAAGTTCTTATTTTTGAAGACATTTCATCTCGATTTTGAGTTGTTTGGTTTTCCATCCTTTGAAACACGGCCAATCATACCAACTCAGTGACTGAGATTTATTGACTCAGAGAATTTTCTTTCCATACGAAATTTACTCAAATTAAAAAAAGTAGAAGGGTCTGTGCCTAGGGGCACGAACGGAAGGTTGACGTAGGACCGCTAGTGGACGGAATAAATGTGAAGAGCATTTAGTTCTTTTAATTGATCAATTATCTATTATCTCAACTCTTTCCGTTTTTGAATTGTAGGCGTACCAATTTTTTTTTTTTTTTTTTTTGTAGTGATCCAGTGGCAGCAACTTGCTAAAACTCTACACTGGACCCCTTTTATTGATAAATTTTGCTTCTATGAGCCTCTATTTTAAATCAACACACAGACGTTCCTAGGCTATGGTGCCCATTTGGTCACTGTTGTTTTTGTGCTGATCCAAATAGTTTTGATAATATAATTGCGCATTCTTTTTTTTTTTAATGTTGATTTTGTCCCAGTCTTGTCTTCTGTCGTCACTTATTTTGTCATTTTGTCTTGTGTATTAACCCCCACTTGTCTTGTTTATTGTGTCAACTTGTGTCTATTGTCCTTCCCCATCTGTTACTCTGTCATGACTAATTTCATTGATATATAAAAATAGTAATATCAATTACAGGATAATATGGTTATTTCTCGATTACTTTTTCAAAGGGAAGCACCAGCTCCTGCAAACAATGCATCCGATCGTCGATCCGGCGCAACCGGCAGCTCGCACACGCTTATCAACGCCACCAGCAGGTAGAGGAAAATTTCCCCTATCTGATGATAGTGCCAGTTAAGCCAAATCGACGACCAAACGCACCGCCTACAAAAGCCGATACGCTCCCTTGAAAAAGTTATCGAGATTTCTACTAATTAATGAATTATTGACAATTACCTCTCATGATCCTTGGCTCTGATTTTAACTTACCACTTTTTGATTATTTATCAAATACCTCTCCCAGAATATATAACTCCCCGATGCTTTGTTGGTTTCTGGTCTCATTTGGATTGGTCCTGAATTTGTTTGACATCCTGTTCGAAGTAATTCTTTGAGTTCCAGCTTGTACGTGTCTCACGTCATATGATTCGCCATTCATAAAGATAATGGGTTAAAAGGGAGTAAAACATACATAAAGGTACATTAGTATTAGTTGCACTTGATCCAAACAATAGAAAGAAGCATAGATGACTTAGTAGAAAAATAAAACTAATAAATAGCTAAAAGTGCAATGGACAAGTGTTAGTTCCGGGATCATTTTAGTGTTAGTAGTTATGTTAGTTTTGATCCGTATTCAGCCCTGCTGGCCCCTCAAGCACTATTTGCAGCAATTGTGTTAAGATTATGCGACACTGCTACTACTACTATGTTAGATGTATGACTTGTCAATTTTCACAACGCAATGTCTTTCAATAAATCACTCAATCAATTTGATGTTTGAAAATTTGCTCAAAAGGGCTTTGTTGACACATCATACCTTACCGAAAACTAAAGCACAACAATCCTAATTCTTATTTCAAACCAATCAACATATTTAACACATCTTTCCTAAAATTTCACTTGTTCGTAAGCGCCTGGTTGAAGATATGACTTTCGCTATTGACATTGTCTGTAATTAACAAATACACTAAATAGGAAGATTTATTATACAACTTCATAGGCTAGTCGCCTCCCTAAGCGGACCCCCCGCGTCCTATCTCTTATGTTAATTAACTTTCTGAATTCTATAATTGAAGTTTATTTAATAAATAACTGAAATCTCTAATCTACCTACATAACCCATGCTTTTAAATTACAATTTAACGTGTATCTTATCTTATATCTTTGTTCGTCCCAGATGACACCTTCAAGTGACTAAAATGCTTCACTTTGAAGTTAGTTTCCAAGCTAATTTTAAATTGTATATTGTATAGGGTAAATGTTCCAACTACGCTCTCACGTTTCCACTATGTGGCCCCACAAAAATACATATGGGTATGTCACAATAGAAGCACACCGCAGTGGAAATCCCGAGCCATAGTTCAAACACTTATCGCAAATCAAAATGAAGCACATATAAGATTAGTTACAATACCATGTACAAAAATGATGTTTAACATTGTTTTCTGAGTAATACTTCAATGAAAACAACAATGAAAGCTTGTCACGCAAATAGAAGGAGCACTGTTGGGCACTTTCTGAAATATTTCAATAGTATAATTCCCTTGCAAACCCAAATAAATCTATCTGCGTAAAAATAAATAAAATAAGAGTGATTTGCGGCAAAACCCGCCAGTATCACACCCAACGTCAGTGCCTATACGTAAGCGTACTACGACGCGGCTTTCAATAAAAGGAGTAACAAGTGTGATACTATCACTGCTAGACTAGATCTTTGGTTCTCTCATGCAGCGGTTTATCAGAGAGGGGAAGCTTAGTAATCCCCATCGCCTGCCCATGTCGCCATTCTATCGCGGCATGAGCCAGCAACGCCGACCATAAACCTACCGTCTCCAACACTCCACTATAAAGCATGAAATTAAGCCCGCCCACCAACAGCAAGGTGCAAAAACTAGCCAAGGGGAGGGAATTGTAGGCGTACCAAATTTGTAGTAATTTTTTTCAAAGAGAAAGTTGATTAAGAAAATCAATAAAAATCACTTTCACACCTGCTTCCAAGTTTGGTTACAAGATTACAACTCTGGAGAGCATTTTGTGTGGTCGTTGGGGGCTTGTGGTTCTGAATATGGACAAACAAGCACAGATAAATTCTATTCCAACTCTTTACTGATGTAAGCTTGATGGCCCTGAAAAGAGCCGTTTTGTTACCAAAGTTGATGATGATTTAACCTCCGAAGCTGTACAGAGTTCGTCTGTCACTTCAAAGCGTAGACGACATCGATGGCCGGAGACACGTTTGACACCGACCAGTCAATTGTTGGGTGAGAAGGAGTGGACTAGCCACCACCTTCCTACTGCTGCTATTGCTGTTCACCACGCCGTCCGAAGCGAAAATGAGCTAATGCCATACAGCAGCGCTCTTTTATATCTTTTCAGGTTGAAGCAGAATAAAGTGCAACCAAGTGGTATAAAAGCTACAAAGGCTCCTCCCATTATGAGTAGTTTGCTATCAAGTAGCGACACTGGCTCTTTTCCTTTTGCGTACACGGCGAATGAGAACGACCCAAATTTGAGTTTAGTTCACCCATAATCGCTAAAAGTGCAGGAACTCAGCGATGAGTAAATTTGTCTCATGGAATCCTATGGAAAACCTTAAAAATCTGCCAGAAAATGAGGAAATTGACGAAAGTTTTATTCAGTCTCGGAGTAGTACCAATAGACTGAGTAAATACAATCTTTACTTTTCTCAAATTCGGGAATTTTTCCCTGAAAAATCCTGGAAAAACCTGGGAAAACATGAGGCAAATTTACTCATCGCTGAGTTCCTGCACTTTATTTCTTATTTCTGAGATAACTAAACTCAAATTTGGGTCAATCTCATTCGCCGTGATATCACCTTGAAAGATATCGGCACCGGTGGTTAGCGTGATTACCTCTCACTCCAGCAGGCCTGTTCAATCTCAGTCGGCGCCACCGGCATGTTCTAAGGCATAACATCTCTGATCACGCCTTCCTTCGGGAAGTAAAGCCGTTGGTCCCCGGTTGAGTTGATGGGTCGATTGGTAGGGTCCAGGTGTGGGAGCTGCCTCCCTGACGTCGGTAGAATTGGAACTCAGTACAGAAAACAAATCTCGCGTCACTTTTCAATAGGTCCTATCTACATTGATCGACACTCCTTTTTCGTAAATAACTCGGCTTCACAAATGTTTCCTGCCGTCTTCGTCGAATTAGATGCTAGATTGTTGCTTCTTCCATCGAAAATATCCGGCCGTGGCGATTCAAAGTTGATCAAAATAATTTGTACCCCTGCTTCCAGTTTGATTACATGAGCATTTTGTGTGGTCGTTGGTTCTGAATATGGACAAACAGGCGGATGAATTCTATTCCTACTCTTTACTGTAATAAGCTTGGTGGCCCTGAAAAGAGCCGTTTTGTTGCCAAAGTTGGTGATGATTTAACCTCCGAAACCAAACAGAGTGCATCTCTATCACTTCAAAACGTAGATGACTTCCATAGCCGCTTACGCTTGGCGTGTGTAGTGTAGGTGACAGCATCACGGATGCACCTTCAGCACACCTCGTAAATCAGACCGGAGATACGTTAGACACCGCCACGACGACGAGCCAGACGAAGGATGGTAGTTATCTCGAAGAATTTGCGTTTGGTTCTGAATATGGCGATGAGTGTGCAAAATATTAAGCATTTCCATCCTCCCTATTTGCACGCGTCCGAGGATCGGAGGCGAACGCCACTTCGACTTGTTTCGTCTACTTACTACTCTCCGACGACTGTGCTGGGGAAGCAGCATATGCATGTAGGTAATTGGTGGATTTGTTAGTTAATTCGACGCTTTTGAACAATGCTGGACATTTACCAGTTATTCAATAGTTTCTTGTTAAAAATCAACATTCCGATGCATTGTTATCGATGCGTAGCCATATATCTGATCGATTGGTGATAAAATTATTGAAATTGGACCAGGGGCAGCTGAGTTATTAACGTTCAAAATCTTTCTTAATTTGTTACATGTTCCATTTTTGGTTTTCACAAAGTGTACCCCCATATAGAAATCAAAGACGTAGTCCTACGTCAAAAAACTGCAATTACTCACAAGCTATGAGTAACTGCAGTTAATTCATCATTCATCATTTAAAAATCTGAGTAAATCTCCCCCCCCCCCCCCCCCCCCCAACAATAATAGGTAAAGGTAATGTCTCAGCCGCCATTTACCATATTCATGAATCCTTAAAAAATCGAAAAGTTTCCCAAAGCCATCTACAACCACTTCAACCAAGGATGGTGATATCAAATTGCATTCATTCAAAGTTTACTTACCATAGCTGGCAGCAATTTTTTTTTTATTTCCTACACACTCCTCCAAACACCTAAAAGCCCGGATCCCAATCGGTCTCCTGTGGCATCTGATTGATCTTATAGCAGACCACCGTATCGCCTGCCTTCACCTCTATCTCCTGATCGGCAAATCGCAGGCCACATTCAACGTCCTTCTTGACCGTGTCAACCTCATTCTTGAGATGCCTCATCGACTCCAGTTCCAGTTCGGTCGTTAGGAGCTCTCCATTGCGAACCAGCTTGAACTGGGAAGCCTTCTTGAGCATACCCTTCGTACAACGACAGCCCAGCACGGTCAGCTTCTTCCGACCTTCGTTGATATCGAACAACTGCAGAATGTTCGCTTCGCCCACAGTCTCCTCTTCATCCACCAGCGGCAGTTTGGAATTAATTTCCTTCTTGAGATCATCCACCAACCGGTAAATGATGTTCACCGGTCTGATTTCCACATCCTTTGCCTTCTCTGGAACGCTAACGGAAAATGCGTAAACCACAGCGTTGAAAAGCCGTGCCAGTTCTAGATCCCCCTGACTGACATCACCCACACCGTAGTGGACGACATCCAAGCGGCAGTGTTCATTTCCATCGTACGTTTCCAGCACATCCAAAATAGCCTCCACCGAACCATGCACATCGCCTTTGATGATGACATTTACCCGAGGAGTCGGATCGTCCGGAGCAGATTCCTTCGGTCGCGGTCCTTTGTTTCGCCTCCGGTAGAATCCGGACAAACGCTGCTTCTCCCTCTCGGCTTTGTACTTTTCATCGTGTTCCATCTGCTTCACCAGGATGGCATCCTTATCACTTTCAGCCTTTTCCTGCATGGCTTGAGCCTCTCGCCATCGCATCACCGAGTGGGCGACTTTCTCGGATTCGACTTCTAGAATTAATTCCCCGGCTGAGGGGAGTTCTCGCCAACCGAGGATTTCCACAGGCATTCCGGGGGTCACCTCGGACACTGGTTGACCGGCGTGATCGAAAAGCCCTCGCACCCTTGCCCACCCTAAGCCACTAACCAGCACGCTTCCTTTCCGGAGGGTTCCCCGTGTGACAATTGCAGTAGATAGCTTCCCCCGACGGGAATCGATTTTGGATTCGACGACCACTCCTTCCATCGGACCGGCATATTCCCCTTTCAAACTCATCATTGTGGCTTGAGTGCTGACTGCTTCGGTCAATTCTTCCAGATTGATACCCTGCAAGGCGGAAACCCCTAAAATAGAAAAGCAATTAGACCACCCGATGAACATCTGCTAGGAACATGCAACACCAACCGACGGCAATCGTGTCTCCTCCGAAACCTTCCAGCGCTATCCCGTGCTGTGCCAGTTCCTTCTTCACTCTATCCGGATTGGATCCCGGCTTGTCAATCTTATTAATGGCCACTATGATGGGAACATTGGCCTCCTTTGCCAGAGATAGCACCTCTTTGGTTTGCTCCATAACCCCATCATCGGCGGCCACGACCAGCACAATGATATCGGTCAGATTGGCTCCCCTAGCTCGCATGGCACTGAAAGCAGCATGACCCGGTGTGTCCAAAAAGGTAACCTTCTCACCATTATCCAACTCCACTGTAAAAGCACCGATATGTTGCGTGATCCCACCGGCTTCACTAGCGGCTACCGAAGCACCTCTGAGCGAATCCAACAGCGTCGTCTTGCCATGGTCTACATGTCCCATTACCGTCACCACCGGTGGACGTTCTTTCAAGTTCTCCGCTGGCGGTGGCGGCCTCGGCAGGACATCCCGGTCCTTAATTTCTTCCTTTGCCGTACTTGGAGCGGCCACAATTTTCATCTTCAGCCCACACTTGGTCACAATGTCCTTGATAATTTTCTGATCCTCCAATCGAGTCTCCGGATCGATGTTCCCCGCGCCTTTCACGTACAGCATCACCTCCTGGATGTGCTCCAGTTCCAGCTGGCACGATTTAGCCAACTCGGCAACGGTCATATTGCGCCAAACATCCACCACTCCGCTGGTTTGGATTTTGTTTTTCTTCTTCGCTGCAAACTCAATCACGCGGGGTGCTTTCTAAAATCGAAAATCTCATTGACAAAATCAAAACACAAACTATATTCCGCTGCCATACCTTCTCTTCGGCGGTTTTCCGCCGCTTCTGACTGCAGGCACTCGTTTGGAAGAACCGTTTCTGTAAACAGCCATTGTGGATGGTGGATCGCCGCCAGAACTCCGCTTTGGACCGGATGATTTCGTTGGTTACTAACCTTGAAGGGGGCGAAAAGGGTGTGGAAAAGTAGGTCAACAGTTGGGACGCCTATTTCGATGGATTTACCTATTGATCACTGAGCGGACGTGAAACATCGATCGATTGGTCACTTAATGGAAAATTAAACAATTTATTTTACTGATTTTTTCCTGAAAAATCACGGAAAATTAACTTTTTATTTTCTGCACGAGTGTTATGTGATTTTGTTTTGATCGGCCAGAAAACAACTGATTTTGACGTTTCGCGAGCGACTGCCGGCACAGCTGATGCAAGGTTAGCATGCGCAAGAGAAAGGTTAGCTTCAAGTTGTCCAAAAGTGCTCGGATTGGCTGCGTTCCTGCACGCTTAGAAAAAATAACCCAACATTCTGGAGTCCTTTCTGAATAAGTCCCATGTATATATGGCAATCAAAATTTCGATTACCTTCATTCGCTCTCTACCGCGAATCGAACGGTGGGTTAGCAGTATTGATGTTGACAGTCTAGTCCAACGATTAAAGTTAATATTGTACGTAGCCAGGCCTGTTATGGGGGATCCTCATGGCTACTCCATGAGTACCCGAATAAAAAATACAATTCAATGTATGGTATAATTTATAAAAAAAAAATACATTATATATTCCGAGATGTATTCTACACTGTTGTAATGTAGATGAGACCTATAAATAGGAATAATAAAATTATGATCATTGAAATAACTCACCAATTGCAGATTGATTTAAATTATGTAAATGACACAATGACTGGAACTGAATATTTACTGGATGGAATCCACAGATCAAGTTGTAATAATAATAATGGTCTCGATTATAAAGGTACATTAATTTTCAGTTTCACTTCTTACATTTTTCGCAGGCTGTGGTCCTGTTTCTGCATGGCAGCAATCTTACACGGTGAAACATCGGGAGTGGACATTTCATATTCAGCCTCTCGCTTAGTTCCCGCCTGATCTTTTCTCTTGTAAGCGTGGATATGACAATCTCGTCGACAGCTCTGGCATATTTTATCGATGGCATGGCATGCAGACGGGTCGTGGTACACATTAGTACCAGTACCAAAGAAGAATACTAAGATGAATCTGTCGGAAGAAAAAGTTTCTATTCTAGTGTCCTCTTTCACGGTCCCTTTCATCCAATGAATACCCTCGTATGCAAGGTAATTTTGTGGTTTTGGTGCCCCCTCGGTAGAGATGAAATTTAGCGCACTTTTTTATCAAAACAATCACACCCAAATCAGAGATGTCCCATGTTTTAATTACTTGATTAACAATTTACAATACACACTCAGCAACGTTTTCCTTGTTCGGTAATTTTTTGCCGAAAATAATCGGTAAATGAAGAATATTACAGATTTTTCGGTAAATAAAAATAATTTTACCAACATTCGGTAATGTTTTACCGAAGTGACGGTAATCTGGCTTTTATATTGACGAACTTCATTAAAAAGAGTACAGTAAGAACTGTAAAACAAAGCAAACGCCGAATTCGGTTAAAAAATACCGAACAAACTGCAAATTACAGAAACGTTTACCGAACTTCTGTAAATAATTCCAGACTGTCAATCGAAAGACGGTCATATTTATATCAAGTGTTAAAGTAAACAGTAACAGTGGAAAGTGACCGGAAAATTAAGTGAAAACAATGTAAGTATGTTCGCAAATACAGATGAATAATGCATCTATTAAATATTCCTAATGAGATTGATAATTACATTTATTTCTTTCATTTTGATGATTGCTCTTCAGACACAGCCAGGAATTCTGTGCTTTCGGGATCAGGTTCCAGTCAATGTTTCTGGACTGGCATCCCCATGGAAGCAGCCACCTGCGAAAAAATACTCCAGTGAGCAATATATGTTATTTTAAAATATATTTTTACCTAGATGTTTACTGTTGAATAAAATCTCGTAAATAATAATGCAAAAAAAGATTTAAATTTTAATTCACCGGAAAAAAAAAACAAAAAATACACAAAATCAAGAAATTTTCATTTAGTTCAGTAAAAAATTACTGAATAGTTCGGTAAATCTGTTTACCGATCGTTCGGTAATCGTTTCGATTACCGAACTGATTACCGAACGTTCAGCTGTTGAAAGTTCGGTAAAAAATTACCGAATACGGTAATAATTTCTAAGTGTGTAAGAACAACAAGACTACTTTTTGTTCGCTGTGCTGTCATTTTTCCACCAATGAGACTGCAGAACATGTTTGGAGCGATGGGTGATGATCCTTTGAAGATGTTAATACCCCGTTCACATTACAGCCAATATCACGTAATATAGGCTGTCTTGCAATGAGCACTCATACATAGGATTTCCAGTGAAAACTTGATGTATGAGTGCTCATTGCAAGACAGCGTATATCACGTGATATACGCTGTAATGTGAACGGGGTATAATGCTTATATCGGCATGATATCACCGATTACAAATATTTTACTTTTCGGTTCGTCACGGATTGGAAACAGAGGCAGGATGTGCTGTCAACTCGGCCTACTGAACAGCCATCAATGAGATGTAAATATGTAAAGCCCTGAGAATTTGTCATCTCTTTCGTTCTCCCGCTTTTTAAACGGTTGAAGGAGTGTGACCACCGACAAACCGACATGAATGACCATACAAAGTACCATCACAAAGAACAGAGGTTCAGGCTCGAACTAAACTTCTGTCAAAACTTGAGTAAAGATTCCTATTCGACTTAAGCGCTGGCAACACCGACTTCCCCACTTTAAAACCCTCTTTGACAACATGATGGTGCTGGCGTTGCACAAATTACACTACACAGCAAAAAAAATGTACTATCGACCAATGTAATTCAAGCTGATGTATGAAATAATGATGTAATAGCAAAAAGCAGATACAATATTACATCAATGGATGTAATTTTGTTCGCAAAATCGATGTACATCGTACAACGTTATATTACACAACCGATGGATTGACCTGGTTGCAGCAGTTTGGATGTAATATTCAACAACTTTTTTTTCTGTGTAGACGCAAAATGGCAAATTTCAACAGAGAATTTATCGTCATTTACGAATTTACCATCACATTTCTGATCAAAGCAAAATACTGACATCTGCCGCCGTGTTTGCGAAAAATGTGTATCCTAAAATGTATGAGATGGTTCGTGTCTAATCTATTCCGGGCAAATTATTCGCCTTGACACCAGTCCCGAAGTGACGTTTCTTCACACACATTTTGACAGTTCCTTATGGGGTTTTGCGTTGGAGTGAGAGAGTAAGAAAAAGTCCGCCATGTTTCACACATAGACTGACAGTTACATATGAGATTTCTCCATATGAGTAAAGAGTTACAGAGCTCTCGTCAACGCCAATTTCTAACTAGATCTCGATTAACATTTGAAATGGGCCTGTGTCCAAAACGCAAACTAATCGGTTTTTGATACCATTCTTTAGCACCACTAGATAGCTACTAATCGTGTAGAAAAGTTCCGGATAATCGAGAAAAATCATTAAAAATAACTCGATTTTCGAAATGGACGATCATCGAAATTTTTCAATTCATTAATACACACACACTAAAACCAACAATCAATACGAAACTAACGATTTTAAATTGGCTCACCACTTTAGTAGCCTATTGGTCCCAAGCAAACGATTAACGTACCCTATTCTAGTTGAAATTCTATTACTACACTATGTTTGTTTTGATTCGCTATGAAAGTTTGACAGATAACATCAGGGGTGTGTGGATTCATGCAGAACATGCAGGGGTGAGTGAAATAGCTTGGGACTGCTTGGGACCGTTGTTCTGGTACTGAGTGAGCCAAAAATAATAATGATTTTCTTCGGGACCCAGTGGTCTTAGAGTTACCTCTATGCTAAAACCACAAACGAAGTGACAGACGACTAACTGGCGAAGAAATCCATTTAAATAATGTGGTTCACTGTAATAGAATTTTCTTGGAAGCTTGTGCCATCATCCACCAGATGGGTTAGTTTTTTTGTTTTGATTTGAACAAAGTTGATTTTGTGTACAATGATTCTTTGACAGTGTGCAAAGAGTGCGTATCATTTTGTCATTTTTTATGCATTTCTGTTTTGAGTAGAGTGAAAGAGATAGAACCAAAACATTCTAGTACATTTGGTGAAAATGCTAGTTCAATCTAGTAGTAGCGTAGTAGCAACAATCAATACGAAACTAACGATTTTAAATTGGCTCACCACTTTAGTAGCCTATTGGTCCCAAGCAAAAGATTAACGTACCCTATTCTAGTCGAAATTCTAGTACTACGCAATGTTTGTTTTGATTCGCTATGAAAGTTTGACAGATAAAATAAGGGGTGATTGGTTTTTCCTATGTTTCGAGGGGTGATTCGACAAGCTTGGGACCGAAGATAGTACCAGAGGTGAGCCAAAAAGTTGAGCTCGTTTCTTTGGGACCTACTTGTCTTAGAGTTACCTCTATGGTAGTAGCAACAATCAATACGAAACTAACGATTTTAAATTGGCTCACCACTTTAGTAGCCTATTGGTCCCAAGCAAACGATTAACGTACCCTATTCTAGTTGAAATTCTATTACTACACTATGTTTGTTTTGATTCGCTATGAAAGTTTGACAGATAACATCAGGGGTGTGTGGATTCATGCAGAACATGCAGGGGTGAGTGAAATAGCTTGGGACTGCTCGGGACCGTTGTTCTGGTACTGAGTGAGCCAAAAATAATAATGATTTTCTTCGGGACCCAGTGGTCTTAGAGTTACCTCTATGGTAGTAGTGTTGCCATGTGGTACAATCCAGTACTAGTGGTGTTGCCATGTGGCACACTGAAAAGATGCAATAGCAGGTTAGTCACCAAAGTATTCGAGCCGCTCCGTCTGTCACTTCGTTTGTGCTAAAACGGCCAACCATTTATTTATTTCATTTCATTGATAAGCCCTAGGGGAAGGACAGCTCCAAGTATCAGCATCAATACTGATGGTGGATATATTAAATATTCTAATATGTGTGATATTTGCGAATCTTATACTTAGTCTGACAGTTGTTTTTGTTTTGTTTATGGCTATTTTTGGTTTTATGTGTTCATTTGATATTCGTTTAATCAAAAATCGATTTCACACGAGAGGCCATTCATTCTTTGATAATCTTGCTGGCCACCGCCACCAAAATCCGCTCCTTTTCTAATAATTTCGGCATTATTTCGTAGCTGATCTCAGTGCACAT